TTTATGGTACAATTACTACATTACAGAGATCTTTCCATAGTCAACAGGGCTGATGTTAGTTCAAGGGTGCACAACTTTGATCAAAACTACCTTCTGAATAGTAATAAAAAAATCCATCAGAATGAAACAAAAAACATCTTGGTACTCCCCTTCCTAAAATAACATGGAATGATAGGAGTAATAAAAATACTGTGAGAAAATAAAGGTAGCTAAACACCTATCAAAGCAAGCCAAACAAAGTAAACAACAAAACTCTTTAAAAATGTGTGATGCTTCCATTTGAGACAAGAAACAAAGCTGAATAAGTTATCTAGGTAACGCTTATGCCAAGTACCATAATTTCTAACTATAGTTTTATTCTCTTCCCTTTCATCCTTTCTTTAGGGACAAGAGCTGATTTGTTTCATGATTTTTTCTAATGCACATAATATGTTACATGTACTACTGCAGTTTAAATTATATAGATGTAATTACAAAAATGATTCTTACAGATAGGAAATATATGCTCACTACATTTTGCAGACTATTTCACTATTATTTTTAATGAAAATCATATTTTATGTTTGTCTCCAGGAAAGAGATAATTGAAGTATTATGCTTTGGAGGAGGCTTGTGTTTTCAGCTGAAGTAGAAAGGCTGAAGATTTAATAATACAAAATGTTATAAATCAGGGCCTCTAGTTGTAGGTACTTTGATTCCAAAAAGCTTTGTTCTGGAGACTGTCTGCTTAGATTAGATATTAGGATGAGTCATGGAGAAAAACAGTTGCAAAAATGGATGATAAATCATTCAGGAAATATTGTTTTGAAGTAGATATAGAAATGAATGTGAAGCCAGAGGAGAACATGAAGCAACAATGATCCTATTTGTCTCTTGCCTAGGTGGACATTAACTCTGTGTTTTAAACTACCAAGAGTTTCCATATGGACTTTGGGCTTTTTTCCATATTTAAAGTATTTTGCTAAAATAACATGAAGAGGTAGCAAGGAATAGCTTATTTGGGAGAACATGAGAATGGTTATACTCCCACAGTCGACCTATCCATCTAGCCAAGTATCCCCTGACTACAGCAATTAGCATGTGTCTAGGAAAGAGTATTGGGACTCATTGTTTATGCCTTTCACAAAAAAAAATAATTGTCAAAACTTTCAAATCTTCAGTAGTTCATGGCTGAAAAACATCCTGAGACAGAGGTGATGTCTTTTCATGTAAGAACTATCAATTATGTTTTCATCTTTAACTTCTCCAGTGGTTTTCTGAACTCATGCAAGCTTTTAGCATCCACAGGTGTATCTTAGGGGGGGAGGCATCTAAACACGCACACACAGCAGGTACCCATTTTGTCTCCTGCTGTCTATGCACACCTTCATAGGTAAGACTGACTAGAACTCCAGTTACAGTAATTTAGTAGTTCATGCCTGTCTTTCTGCCATGTCTATACATTATGCAATCAGTGGCTTCTTGTTCATTCCCTTCCCCCACCTTTGCTATTTAGTGCTTAGCTTAATATTTCATCCATACACACTCCATTATTATATTTAATTATTATGTAACTGGCTTTTCTTTAAGAAGTTGTTGATATTTGAAGTCCTACACAGTATTTCAGTTGGTACGCAAGTCGTTATCTGTAACTTCGAAAAATGGTATCACTTACACATAGATTGCCAGTGGGGTATCAGCTCTGTTCAGCATACCTAGAAAGGAAAGAAACTTCAGTAATCAAACCAGAAACTATCCTTTTCCCTCCTTCAACACCTTCTTGATAACTCAGTCAAGAAATTAAGCAGAAAGAGTCTCTTGAACCTGAATTCCAAAGGGAGAAGAAAACAGTAATGCTCTGGCAATGTGAAAATGAAAATGAGTGGGATGAAGCTTGTTTCATATGTTGGTTTTCACAGAAACACAGGGGTTTTTTTTCACAATTTTTTTTCAATTTTCATATCAGATAAGCTATAAGACAAGGTTTTTTCACCACCCCCTTTTATAAACTTGGTGTACTATGTCTGAATGCTGGTATCACACACGAGTTTTTGCAGGATAAATATTGGATAGACTCCTTGTCTCAGGAAATTTATTGTATAATAAAAGTGGCACAATGTCTTCAACCCAACTACAGAAAGTAAAGAGAAATTAAATATAATAAAGATTTTACTTTAACCCAGGAAATACATACTTTTCTCTCTGTATTCTTTGAAAATCCAGTCTACTTCTATAATTTCCTCGCTACTTTTTTTACTGATATTCAGGACTAAAAAAGAAATCTCATGTGCTGATATGAACAGTAAGAAGCTTGTGATATGAAGAAGATATTTAATATACTTAAGATTTTATTCCACTGTATGTCCAAACTATGCTTTATATAGTCTATAAGATAGCTTTCATTCTAAGGCCACCAAAGGTTAAAAGCTACTGAAAGCTTTGTCCCATGAGTATCCCTGACAGGAATTCCTGTTTATACTAAGAGTAGAAAGAATTGTTAAAACTGATTTTTGTTGTTGTTTTTTTTTTTTTGTAACAGGCAATGGCTTAAATTCTCAGATTTCATTGCTTAACATTGTTGTGTGAGGAATGTTAGTAGCTACTATTTAGTTGCCTGCATTTCATATTGAAGACAGTAAAACTCTTTATTTATTTTTAACCCAAGAATGCTGGACACACAAGCAGCCCTACTGGAAGCTAGTTAGGCTACAGAACACTTCACACTGTTGAAATCACGCTATTTTTTCCAAGTGCTTCATTCAGCTTAGGCTTTCACCTTTTAAAGTCTTCACAGAGACATGCACTAGTTTATTCATTAGTTGAACAAAAAAGGGTTTTCTTTTATGTATTAGGAAGATGTTCACAGTGGGGGTTTAAGTTCGTTCCTAATTAACAAGATGGAAGGGAGATAATTTTCTTGTGGTTACAGTAAAGTTCTTCTGTAAGTTGTTGGACTTGTGCTTCTTGTTTCTTTCCTCAAATTCCTGGTTTTAAATCAGAAAATAAACATGTCAAATTACACTGTCAGTCTAACAGCTACTATTTGAAATCATTTGGATTTCTAATGATACTTAAAATCAATGTCTGAGGTTGATCTGAAAGTCTTTATAAATCATTGGCTTGTAGTATGGTATCATTTCTGCCCAGCAATAACTTTTCATTGTAGTAATTTTTAAGACTCTGACAAGAATTAACTTATGTTTGTGACGTGCTCTGAATATGCAACATATCGTATGAACACTTAACAGCACTATGCAAGTACTTGCATGACATGCCCATATTGTGAAAATATGTATTCAAATGGATGAATAAATGTTGTGGGGAGGATTGTTCTGTTTCCTTCTTATTAAAAAATCCTTTCAATTACTTGTTTTCCAGATAATGGAGGACAGACTTTGGCAGGTGGGAATAACTGGCCACTGAGAGGAAGAAAATGGACCCTCTGGGAAGGAGGAGTGAGAGGAGTAGGCTTTGTGGCAAGTCCTTTACTGAAACAAACAGGTGTCGAAAGTCATGAACTCATCCATATCTCTGACTGGCTGCCCACGCTGGTGCACCTTGCTGGAGGACATACCAATGGCACCAAGCCTCTGGATGGCTTTGACATTTGGAAAACCATCAGGTAACTTGCATGTCAAATCACTAAGTCAGCATTCTGGTCTGAGAAGAATTTAATCAGCCTGGAGAATAGAGCTGGAATTGAGGGGGACAATATTATGTGCTCCTTTCCCTAAATAATGGTAAGGTATAAATGCAGTAAACATTGTTATCCATGAGATAATTATCCAGGTTGCAAGTTAATCCTGGTCACAGATGCAAAACCTCCATATGGCTTTAGCTTGTTATGCTGAATTTTTTCCAATTTTTTTCTACAATGTGCAAACATGGAATCCTTTTTCAAGAAGACTCTGTGATCAAAAGTACATTAACTGATTTTGCACAATATGGAGTACACGTTAGTTAATTTTATGGACCCAGTCCTGCTCTTTACAGAGCCCATTTGGGAGTCTCTGCAGCATACATCTGGAGTTGAACACGTGGGAAATCTATGCAGACATTAAACTCACTGAACATGGATTCCACTTTGGTGGTTTGTTAGCTCAGTACAGGACCTGTCAGTCTGGCTCCATATGTAACCATTTGAACAGGTCCACATCACACTGCCCAGTGTCTCGGAAAGCCTGTGAGGTTGAGTACAAAAGTGAACCTGACTTGGTTCCTGAGAGGTCATGATGGTTTAAGCAAGCTGGAGCACTCAGGAGCACAGTGCACACTGCTTAGGTGGCTGGAAGAAAAGCGGCTGCTTAGCTCCAGTTGGGTTGCCACTGAAACCAAGCTAATGACTTTTACTGGGCTCTCTCTGGCTCTGTGCAGCTTGCATGCTGGCTGGATTGAATGGGATATCCCAGTGTCCATTAGTTCAGATAATGGAGAATCTTCTGTGCATTAAAAGAAAAAAATAGTTAAATCCCATACATTTTTTTCCCCTGGAAAAGAATAAAAATTATATCGCAAATGCTGGATACTGGGGGCTCTGGGCACATCTCAATATGTGCTTATTACTGGTCTCAGCAGAGTAAGTAGAATAGAATGTAAAAGAATAAATGAAATAGGCATTAACTGGTAAAAGTTATTTTTTTCATTGGAACAAACTGTCAAAAGAAACTCTGACGTTGCCCCTTTGTGATACCTTCAATCAAGACTTATATTCAGTCAGTCCTTCATCTTTCAAAGGTCTTCCTTTATTCTAACATTCTTCTATTCTACTAAAATGGATGACAAAGTTCTTAAAACATGAGTTTCTGCAGAATTTTAAACTTCTGTGACCAAAAGAAAACTTTTCTGCATATACTGTAGAGTGACATTTGTTTAAACTCCTTTGTTTGTCCCTCATCTGTGCTGCATGTAATATAATCATTGATGGGGCTAAATCCTATTTTCTGTGTTCTTAGAAGTTATATTTATTTTAGTTGGTTTTCAAATATAGTTTTAATTCACAAAAGAATCATTTAGGATGCAAAGCTTAATAATGATAAAGCAGAATAAAAAGACTAGCATTTCCATGTCCCACATGCCATTCATCTGAGAATAAGTGTTTTATTTCTTTGGATAGTCTTCTGTTTTTATAGCAGTCAGACAATATTATGTGTGTCATAACCTTTTGTCCCCTTCTCAGGGTTCCCACCCTTGCTTGCAGGAGAAATGTAGCTATTTTCTGCAATTTTCTCTGTAGTGCCTTATGATAAACAGAGATTTTTGTGTGCCTTAGCATCCTAGACTGTGTTACAGGAGTTAGTTTCTAAACAAGTGTGAGCAGAGGGTATTTGACTTAGAGACTGAGATGAGAAATTGAGAGTTAGAGCAGGCTGAGTTGAACCCATCTACCCGTCCCTGGTTATCCCTATACAGACATTACAGTAAAACAAACAAAAACCGCACAGAAAAAAATCAGACACAAACCCCCAAAACAAAACAAAAAAAACCCATATCTTGAGTTCAGAGTTGATTTGTTTGTACCTTCAGTAGGATTACTTGTTTTGAAGCTGTTATGCTTAGCTATGGGGTAGTTTTCTGTACTAGCTGGCATTTGCAGAGAGCTCATGGCCTTGTGCCCAGGTGTGCTGTATGGCTCTCCTCCAAGTGGGAAAAGATAAGGATGTGTCTGTAATTGAAGCCAGGCACCATTAACTACCAGGAAGGAATGGAGTCTCCTGTCCAGCCCCAAACAGTAAAATGTTTTACATGCTGATGTTACGCTATGGGGTAGTTTTCTGTACTAGCTGGCATTTGCAGAGAGCTCATGGCCTTGTGCCCAGGTGTGCTGTATGGCTCTCCTCCAAGTGGGAAAAGATAAGGATGTGTCTGTAATTGAAGCCAGGCACCATTAACTACCAGGAAGGAATGGAGTCTCCTGTCCAGCCCCAAACAGTAAAATGTTTTACATGCTGATGTTACAGTGGGAAAACTTAGCATCAGCAAGATCCTGAAGTACTCCTAAACCATAGCCTTTTCTACCAGCAGAATTCCTGCCTAATTCAGGCTCAGGTTCAAGCAGGCATTCTTTGTCATGGACTGAGCTTCTCAGATCAGGTTACTTCAGTAGGAAAATTATACATGGGGAAGGATAGGTACAGCTGTGCATCTCCTGGCACTTGAATCTTACCTCTTTGTGGAGGAACTGAATGCAATGTTTACTGGCACTGCTAGGGAATGGGTGACCTCCAATACTTTCAGTAGTGCCAACCAGAGGACATATGTCTAGAGAGGGGAAAAAGGACAGTTTTTGTGAACTGTTAGCCTGTTCTTTGGCTGACCTTGTAGCCAAAATGTCAAATTTCACATGATTTTCCCATGTAATGAGGAAAAATGAGTATATTAAATTTCAGGATCATAACTCAAAAGGTCACTTGAATATTGGATAGCAAACAATGAAGGCACAGTGCCCTTTTGGTGACATCTGATGGAAAGTTCAAATATGTTACTTATAATGAGTAAAAGTAAATTTCGCTAAGATTCTACCTCATTTGTAAAAAGTAAATTAATAGCCAGTCACTGTGTTACATCTGTACTTTTTTCAGCCTAGTTTAATACAATGCATGTGCTTCTTGTGGGTTTCTTTGGAATTTTTTTTGGTGGACTTTAGTCCTATGACTACTGTTTCATATTTCTGTAATCAGAGGGGAAAAGGTTATGAATTTGTTACTTTGATTTATATAGTCAAAAGAATATATGAGACAATGCAGATACTCTCAGAAGTCACCAAATCTTGGATCCATTCCAGTGTCTGTCTGATCTCTGTCTAAAAATGGTCAGTTTTCAAAGGATGTGTTCTTAAGATTATATTAGAAATAATATAATTCTGACAATAATACATATAAATATATAATTTTTAATACATCTTATTATATA